TCTTTCCTGTGTGAGTAGGTTTTTAAGACTGTCAATGGATCTTATATATGATCTGTATTCACCTTTTTTTTAAGGGGGTGAAAGACTGGTAGTTATATTTTCCAAAAATGATATGAGTGAACCTCACGTTTCCGTTAAATTTCATTTCATTCATTCATTGCCAATAGGCATTCTCATCCAGGATGGATTGGAGTTTTTATCTTACTTGTAGTCCCGAAAACAGGCTTACGAACTAAAATAAGTAATGTTGGAGTACCTTTCATTTCGTTTGAAGAGGCGAGTAGAAGGGATTCGTAAGTTGGTTCCACCGGAGGCTGTGGGCGTTTGCCCAGCATAGTTGGGGGCGGATGTGGGAACCAGCTGAGAGTGTGAATATGTCTCACTAAATCCGCTCAAAAGAACACTTCTCAGCTAGGTTTAAAGAGCAAGTAAGGGGTGCTACGAGGATAAAGGATAGGTGAATGCACCAGGACAAAAGGTGAGATACCACAATTATTTAGCGACAATTTGTAAAGCATTGACTTCGCCTGTCTCTTTGACGAGTTTTACTGTGCTGCTAAAAATGGCAAAGCTCACTGACCATGTCGACTAATATGCAGGCGAAACGTCTGGGAATGTACCAAATCCACGTTCCGATTGGAAATTATCATGCATTCTACTAACTGCAGGCAAGGTCGTCCTGACAATATGACTAAGTTGCGTAAACATGGTCAAGCAACTTGTATACAGCGAAATAAGACCCCGATCATACTAAATATTCACCATCTTGGTCTTCATGTCCTCGATTAAAGCTCTGTCTGTTTTCAAAGGAACCGCAAAGGATCGTTTTCTGTCCTTCCTAGTAAAAATATTTTTATTCTTTATATTGGAGAGTTACTAGGTTATTATACTCATTTCTTCATATATTCTTTGTCACATTTCGCTTTTCATGCAGCACCGTAATCTTGAGTTGGTGGCACTTCTGGAGAGAAAGCATGAGGCTCACACGCGTGCGGTAGCACAACTTACTTCTGCCAGGGATCAAGCAGTCAAAAAGATCACCTCAGCTGAGGCATCCCGCTCTTTGCAAGAAATAGCGATGAAACGTGAATTGGCCAAGGCCCGGGAGCAGGTTAGTGCCTTCTATTTACATGATGCTTGCCAGAAGGGGTTTTACTGTTGGGTTGTTAAGTTTTTTTCATCCGATACGGTCTTGATTAAAATGATTAAGGAAACCTAATATGTTTGCCAGATTTCTCTAGAAATCTTAAATATCATTAATCTTACCCTATTATATTCTAAAAAGTAAATTAGGAGCTTTCATCTTCTAGAATCACTTGTTTTCTTATATTTGTTTCTCTGCCTACAAAGGTCTATCCTGTATTTCCTATAATTATCTCTGCTGGAAAATTTAATGAACTGGTTTTCTTATACATTTTTTATATCTTTATTTGTATGTTATTTTAATTTAAGCGTAGCTACGAAGACCAAGATGTTGTGGCATCTATTTATTTAGTGGTTCTCCTTTTTTGCGTAACTTCGGTAATCCGTTGACTGCTGGTGGTTGTGCCTCCTTTTTTATTGATGGATTTATTGTCCATCCATTTATCTCCCCATTTCTATGCATATCTTTCAGTGTGCAACGTAAGATTCCATATATCTTCATATTTGGGTCCTTCTTTAGTACACGATACGTGGTCCTGCCTTGCAGTATGCAATCCACTTACTCGGTATATTGTTTTCTGTCCATTACAACTGTCGCTCCTCCTTTGTCCGCCTAAAGGACCAATTGTTAATTCATTTCTAAGATTCTACGTATCTTCGCAAATCTGTTCATGTGTGTTGGTATATGATGTGTCAAGATTCTTGGGATTATTTCTAATTCCATTTCCCGTTTTGTCTCCTCGGGGAACGTGTCGGAGATATTGATTGATTTAATCAGAATGTCTTTTAGAAGGTTTCTATCATTTAGAAGAGAAAAGATTTGTCTTTTTTTCAGGATCGTAGTAGTTTCAGGAACAAGAGGAAGCAAGGTTAAATTCAACATCTTATTCTGTTTGTCCTAATGATCAGTAAGTGTAATCACCTTGGAAACCCCTTCAGTTAGGCGCGCTGGTTTTAACCTACGTCGTCTTATAATTCCATACCCAAGCAATTTATTGTCGTTTCTTTTTGTTATTAAGCCAGAGATCCTACGTTATTTTTTTGGGCCATACTCTGGAGTTTTTGAAAAGCCTCCGAAGTCAGAAGCCTGGCCAGTTCACGCCGGAGCATTGACTTAATATCTATTAGCTTAAATAACTTATTCCTCTCCATAGCATAGGTTTCGCTTAACTTTTGAATGGAGGCCTGGTGAAAAATTGATTTGGCCCTTTCTGAATGGGAGTGTCTCTTAAAGTCACTAAATCGAAAAGTGATACCATAAGGTTTACGACAGTTTTAAAAGGTAAGACGATGATTGAGGATTTGAATATAAAAATGTCAATTTGTGATAGGGTGATAGTGAGGCAAGAGGCTAGAGAATAGATAGAAGGGCCTGGACAGAAAGAGGAGTGATAGCACAACAGCTTCGGCAGAAAGTTGGCAAAGGAAATGACTTCACTTGACTATTTGACGAGATGTAACTTATTGCTGAAAATGGCAAGACTCATTGACAATATCGGCGAACCGTCTGAGAATATAGCAAGCCAACTGTCCGACGATTGGAAATATGATACCTATATTCGTATGTGAGTAGGGTTTCGAGACTTCATACGAATATAAGTAACGTAGTCGATTGCTATAGCAAACATACGTTTGCTTCATCGGCACTCCCACCAAACAATATGATATAGCAGAGGCCTGACCTTCCTTGAAATTCACTTATACCCTGTGACTCAAGGGTACTCGTGGCAGTGTAGCCGAGTGGTTAGCGTGTCAAGCTTCCGGCA